ATATATTCGACTTATTTAGATGCCATTTAACCTGCAAAATTATGCTTCTTGCATTAAATTAGTTAGCTTTAAATGCATGCTTAATTTAATTATTATGGCTTTGAATGTATATTCAACTTATTTAGTTATCGTGCCGTTTTGAATACATATTCCAGTATTCGACTTATTTAGATGCCATTCAACTGCAGAATTATGCTTCTTGCATTAAATTAGTTAGTTTAAATGCACGCTTCATCTATTTAGTTCCTGGGATGATTAATTTAATTATTATACCATTCGATCCTGCATAATTATACGAACTGGTTGCATGATTGATATATTTAAGCAAGGCTTAGAAATAATCATAGCATTTGATTCTTTAGATAAGCTTGAAAACAATCATGCTGATTCTTTAGACAAGGCCTGGAATAATCATGCTATTCGATTCTTTAGACAAGGCTTAGAAATAATCATACCATTCGATTCTTTTGTAATTCGCTTTGGTCAAGTAACTGGATATGGACTAATAGAAGAATAGTTGATTGTAGTTGTTAATGAGAAGAACTGCAGATGTGGTAAGAGAATTCATACATATAAATATGTAAGAATGATCTTGTAAGGATTAACCTACGTGTTTTTCAGATTTTATTTTAACTAATCACCTACTGCCAGATTCACAATACCCAAAACTGTAAAGTGAATTCAATTTGGAAGAAACAATACTTGTGGCGTGGAGATTGCAATACCCAAAACCGTGAAGTGAATTTGATTTAAGAAGATTCTCAATATCTGAAACCATGAATGAATTTAATTTGGAAGATGCTCTGTCTTGCGGCGTAGAATTGCATCTACAGTTTTTATACATTCACTGTATTTTCAAAAAGCACATTCTGTTGTAACTACTTGTTTAATAATAAAATAAGATTTCATAGTTATGTTAAAAACAATATGATTTTCTTTTAATCAATGCTTTATTATTAGCAAAGTTTGATTTGCTAATTCATTGCAACAATATCTAAATAATTTTTTTTTACAAGGTTTGCATGCTCATTCCATTATTCAATTTCTGCTATAACAATTGTGAAGACCTCATTCTAATTTTTCTACTTATTTTCTGTAAAACTCTGAATCTGCAATACGATTTGGTAGGCCGAATAATTTCTGCCATTTAAAGGTATAAATTCCATAAAGATACAACATTTATGGATGAAACGCGGAATAGAAAATGCAGATTAGATTTTTTTTAAAGGGTATCATGATTACCTTCTTGGTGGCTTTTGACAATTTAATATCAATATAGTGAGATTTGCTTATATCGTTTTATATTCTAATTACTTAAATCAAAAATTTTATCACTGCCGAATCACAAACTTATCTAATCGGCCAAACAATCATTCGGTCAATTTTTCATCAGATGTCCAAAAATTTATTGTAATTATACGGATAACTAATACGGGTCACCCGGGTAGCAAGGGTTATGACTCGGTTAATGGGTGTTATGTGGGTTACCCAGGTAACCTTATACAGGTATAATCTCTAATTAGCGTAATGTTTTGCAGTACAAAAATGGGATTCGCAGCCACAGGAACAAATTCGCAGAGGTTACGATAAAAAATCTATATAGTATACGCACTGCTCTATTAGCTGTCAAAATAATTCAGCAATCCACAAAATAATTCCGAAGTTAGCTAAGAAGAGATTTTTTTTAGTTTGTTATTACAGGCAATTGATTAAAGCAAAAATAGACACAAAATGGCTACACCAAAACCCTACAATGATAAAACTCCTCTTTCAAATGAAAAAAAAGGAAAAAGGAAGGCTCAATACTGTGATCTAGAGGGTCAAGATGATGTCATTTGTGATTATGAAAAGTTTGGCACATCTCTTGTATCTGATAGAGTTACAATACCAAGTTCAAGCCAACATCTGAACTTGGCTGGCAAAGAATTATGCTAAAAGCATTATAATCAGTTAATAGTAAATCCAAAAAATCAAAAAGCTAACACTTGTTCTCATCCTAAACACGATTTATACAGATCTACAGCAAGAAAAAGTAAAGAAAGAAAGAAGTTAAAGAAAACTCCAGAATGGCTCGTTAAATTTTTTGATTTATTACCAGGAACAAAGATGTGCAATTACTGCCTGTACGAAACTGATAAGGATCCTGAATATGTTGATACGTCGAGTTACTCACAGGCAAAGGAGAGCGGTTTAAAAGAAAATTTAAGGAAATTTGAAGGTAGGTCATATGTTTTGTGTAGTGACGTTATTTATTCCGAAGCTCAATTTCAGAAATTGAAGACTGCATATAATGAAGTATGTGCAGAGCTTGATGAAGTGAAACTAGGTAAGCAAATAAATTGTTTATAATCGTATTATGAAATCTTTTTAATCCTTCTGGGAGATGTTGGATGTGACTTTTGTATAATAAATTTTTTTATACAATCAATTTTTTTTTTTAGAATTAATTCCTCTTAGTAAGAAGATCAAACTAATGGCGGGGGTATTGTATATGAGACAATGAGTGTATAATGAAAACCCCATTTTAGATCCAGAGGAATTCAAAAAAATGCTTGAGGAGGCAACCGTCATTGAAAGGTTTTTTTAATCAATTGGTAGCTGGAACTAACCCACAAAATAAGAATAATATAACTAATGAAAAAAATAAGAGAAGATTAGTTTCATTTTGTTACTTTTTAGCAGGACTTAATAATAAGTTTATTAATGGAATCAAGGCAGAAGTCAGATTCTTACTCGATGTGTCTGGAACTTCTTCATCAGCAATAGAGACACTAGCTAGTGCGGGTTTAACAGTAAGTGTATAACTATTGCAAGACAGAAAGTGCAGTACTCGGAAGGACACATGACAACAGTAGAAAAATTTTTAACTAACAATGTAATTATATAGTGATTTTTACAAGTTTTTGTTGTAATTAATTAATTAATTAATTAATTTTTTTTTTTATAATAGAATGAAAATTTAGTCATTTTTAATATGGATGATTTTCATAATATCCACGAATACCGCCGTTGTGATGTAACAGATACTCACAATATTGGGCATTTTGTTACAATACTTTTGAAAGCCCTACCAGAAACGGCATCTATTCTATTTTATAATCTTAATAATGAAAAAACTATACATAATGAAGGGAGTATTGATACAACTATTATTATATCGAATGCTAGTACTTATTTCTTTTCTTATTTATGGCTTAGTTATACAGAACACAAACAGGCTTTCAACGATTTGATTTTTGAGCCAGAGACCTATGATGAATGAGTTGAATGCCTTCTAATCCACAGCTATGATGACAGGATTGAACAACGTCATACTGATAGAAGTATGGAAAATATAAAGCTGGTTGATTTGATAAAAAGATCCCTTAAATCGACTGATGATTATGTAAAGGCGGTTAAATACTTGATAGATATTCCTGAGATAAAGACCTATATGGAAACACAGGTGTTAGTAGCGCCTATGGACTATCCTAGACAACTTAATATACGGCATGCTATTACTAGATGCATTAAATCAAAAGATCCTTCTGGAATACTGGAACAAATTTTGCGCATTGTTCCAATGATTGGGCCTTTGCATGTATCCTTAAACAATTGTGAAACTGTATTTTTATTAAATTATATATTTTTTGATAAACTTTTTTATAAAATATTTGGGGAAAATAAGATTTTGGCGAAAATGCCAAAACCTTATAAAATTAACTTACTTTTGGAATTAGTATCACAGAGTTGGTCTCGAGTTTGTTTACAAATTCTTCATAAATTTGAACGGTCCAAAGATCTGGAAGCAAGATATCTTATTAACTTGCTAGATAATATCGTCCTATTGGTTATAGATTTTTATCATATCATATTTCGTAGTGGAAATTGGATAGCGTACAAGAAAGTGATGTTTCATGTTTGGGCCATCTTTTATCAATATCAGCATCGACATTATAACAAATTACCATTAGCATTTTTGAGTGACATTTTTTTCTGTCTAATTTTAATCTTCCAATTTCACATATTCTTTCAGATTCTTCACACATTTTTAATGATTATTATGTAGAAAACTTTCACAGTTCTCGTCAACGGCAAATTCAAGAATCAAGCTCGGCAGATCAGATTATTCGGCAAGCACGAACAATCGATCAGTTACGCGGTAGAAATATATTCACTAACATGTTTTCCAAAGATCATAATATTAGATATTCAGCTAAACAGCTAGAATATCTTGAAAAGAATGCTGCACTTTTCTTGTTAGAACTTTTTACGGACGTATATGCTAATATTTGCCAATCGAAGGTTATACTAGATGAAAGTTCTGAAACTGAGTCGTATGAACTTCCAACGCTAGAAACTAAGGTTGATGTTAAGATATTACCAATAGCTTGGAATACGAAGCATCCTCCTCAGGAAGACAGATACTGCAATTTGGAAGGTTGTATAGATCCAAGTGAGGTAGGTTGCATTTTAATTTGTGGACACACTTACTACTATGAATGTTTTTTATTTAATTTAGAGAGTCAATGTCATTATTGTGTCAATTACCTTATGACCGGGATTAAACATAATTGCAAGGCCTTTTAGAAAACTTTAGAGTCGTCTAGTAAGGTAGAAATAGATAAGGATATAAATGAGGAGGTAGATAATACTAAAGATCGTGAAACTCAGGATAGTACTAATATTAGCGTTGAAGGCCTTTCTTTGAATGATAATATAGATTTACAAATAAAAAGAGCGATGAAAGTTTTATCAGATGTATAATTGTAAGATATAATTATAAATAAGAAATGTAATTTTTATTTTAAAATAAATAAAAAAAAATAAATATTATAAATAAATTTTTTATTATCTTTATTGCAATTTAATTGGTATTAATTACAATTTAATTTATACTATATTACTATAATTATTTTTTTAATTTACTTAATTTCTATTTTCTGTCCCTGCAGATTTTTAATACGTAATACATAAAACAAATGCGTGTATAACTCAATTTACAACAATTACGCTAATCTTTTTCGATTTTGGGTAGATTTCTTTTTACTAAAATAGTAGTATATTTCCTCACCCTTTTTAGATAATGCCACACCCATGTAGATCATTTATCTTGACACTCACCTGACCAAATTCGATCAACCCTTTTCATTTTAATTATAGAAAGTTGTAAAATTCAAATAAAAAAAAGTTGATTTAAGTTGATTAGATGGGTGTCGAGATATCTTCAATCAATGTTGTGTAAAATTCTAAATGTTTATCAAATATAAGCTGTGGCAAAAAATTGTTTTCAAACTTTGATCGAAGCTATCTCGACATCTACCTGACCAAATTCGGTCAATTTTTTTTTTATTTTAATTGTAAAATGCTGTAGAATTCAAAGAAAAAAAGATAATCGAATTTGGTTATATGAGTGTCGAGATATCTTCGATCAAATTTAAAAAATTTTTTAAAAATATTAAAATGATCTACATGGGTGAAATATCAATTTCCTTTATTAGCCAATCATATTTTAGAAAAATTAATAAAATGATCTAC